AGGCCTCCGCGGCCCCGGCCGGGCAGCTCGCCCGGCGCGGCGCCGGCGCCGGCGCTGCCCGGCCGCTGGTCCAGGGCCTCGCGAAGGCCGCCCGCGCTCGTCTCCGTCGCTCCTCGTCGGTGCCGTCGGTCGTCGTCGTCGTCGTCGTCGTCGTCGTCGTCGTCGTCGTCGTCGTAGTCGGCATCAGCATCATCAGCATCATCATCATCATCATCATCATCATCATCAACAACATCGTCATCATCATCGTCATCATCATCATCAACATCATCATTATCATGATCGTCATCACCATCATCATCACCATCATCACCATCATCATCATTACCATCATCACTCTCATTATCACCATCATCATCATCATCATCATCATCATCATCATCATCATCATCATCATCATCATCATTTTCGGCGCTGGCGTCGGCGTCGTCGTCGTCGTCGTGGTCGGCGTCGTCGTCGTCGGTCGTTCGAGTCGTTGTCGGTCGGTCGAGCCCGTCGGTCGTTCGAGTCGTCGTCCGTCGGCCGAGTCCGTCGGGCGAGCCCGTCTGTCGAGCCCGTCGGTCGTTCGAGTCGTCGTCCGTCGGCCGAGTGCGTCGGGCGAGCCCGTCGGATGTGGCCGCCGTGGGCGTCGTCGTCGGTCGCGCGGGGGCCTCGCCGTGGCCCCAGCGGGCCCTGTCCTGCGTCGGCCAACTATCCCCCCCGATCTCGATGTTCCTCGCCATGGAGATCCGCGCGCTTCACGAGCTGAGATGTGCCGCCCCGCCCGCTTTCACGATGATGACCATCCTGGCGATGCGAGCCCAGAGTGGCGCAGAACTCGCCGCGGGGCTCGAAGTCATGCTCGCGGCCGCCACGTGGAGGACGGCCACTTGCGCGATTTGTGTTTGGGACTTGGCATTTCGCTCGCTACAGCGCGCTGCTGAAGCGTACCTGCGCCGCGTCCAGGTCATCGACGGCCAATAGCGCACCGATTGCTGCGCCTACCCTCCATCTACCGGCGAGCGCTTCCTGTCTGCGATCGACGGCAAGCCCCATCCCAAGAGCAAGGGCTCTTCACGTAAGCACTACCGCCAGCCGTGGGGAAACGACCGAAGCGCAACCCGACGCGATCGCCCGCCGCACCGCCAGCGCGCAGTGCAAGGCGGCACCCCCTGGACGAGCGGGCAGGTCATCCTTGCCAAACAACCGCAGAGATAGCCATTCGGATCTCCACTCGCGGCGCGATGACGAGCGACAGCCCCATCACAAGCAGAACGAGCCACGGGCCGCATGCATGTCCGAGCTCCAGCGCGGCCCCCTACATGGGCACCCTCGGCGCCGCCATCCTGAAGCGCCTCCAAGCATGGCGCCCGACGACCGGCCGCGCCGCCCACGCCCCCGGCCTCCCACCCCCGGCTCCAGACGCTCCCGCGCCTGACCGCAGCGCCGACGATTCCCGTCGAGATCTACAAGCATCTCGTAATAAGGAGGAGGCGCTGGCCTACTGCGCCGACTGGATCCCCGACGCGCACCTGCACGGCTAGTTGCTGGACAGACGCCGCGACTGGACGGGGCGGTGCGACGCGCGCAGATTTCGAGTGCTCAAACGACCGCCACATTGCAACATGTACAATGGCAGGGGCGACTTCTTTTTCAGAGACATGGCTCGCCGCGTGTGTCGAGACGCTCGGCATGGTGGCGGCAGTGCCAGGCAGCGTTGGGCCCGGCATTTTTCGCGACTTCGCGTGCCAGCAGATGTTTGTCAACTACTGGAAGACGAGAGCAGGGCGCCTTGCCCGGCGCCAGCTGGCCCGTTTCCCCGACGAGATCAACGATGACAGCGACGCTACTCTTCCGAAAGAAGTCAGCCGCTGTTAGGACGACGAGGAATACAGCGACCACGTGTCCCACGCTCCGCGATCGCCAAAATGCCGCCGTCGCGAATCTGGCCAATCAGGAAGACGTACGCGGGATGATGGCCAACAAACCTCAGGACGCACGTGCAGCCGCTAAATCGTTTCTGCATGTTCAGCTGCCCCACAGATGCCGACGACCAGGCCCGCTACGTGGGCTGCCGCCGAGCCTGGCACTGCGCCGCGTGGCATCGCAGCATGCCGGCGCCCGACATGCTGGCGCGCACGGACCTGAGGGCACATGACTATGGCATCTCAGACGAGAGCAGCATCCTGAACCCAGTCACGCGCCTCATTGTGCTGTTCGGGGCCTACTGCATGAAGAACGACCGCCCGCAGTACGACTGCGCCACGGTGCAGAACCACTCCGTCGACGCATTGAGCGCCGACACCGTGCCCGAGCACTTGCCGCCCATTCAAGGCCGCCCGCGTCGCGCTGAGGCCGGGCCCGCTCCGGCACGGCGGCGCGCGCGCAAGCGACGAACCGTCTCCGCAGAGGGACGTGCGCCCCTCATGCTTCTGATCATTTTTCCTTCCGCCGCCGCTTCTCGTCTTCGTCCTCTCTCGTCTATTCCCGTCTTTCTCGTGTCGTGCCCCTTCGCTCGTTGTCCCCATCTGCCCCACTCCTCCTGGGCCAAAGTGGCCGTTTTCCCTGCGGCTTCACATCCCTCGCAGACCCTTACTTCTGCGCCCGTTACGCGGATCCCTTTTTGGGATCCACCTTGGGCTGGGCACTTCTAGGTGCCCGCGTGATTTCACAGATGCCCCCTCTTGACATTCCGTATCCCCCCCGAGGCTTCGTCTCTCCATTGGCCCTCCTCCCTCTTTTCGAAGTCCCCGAGCATCGCTTCGACGATGGGGCTCTTCCTGCTGTTGTGGATATCCCCCAGCCGCTTCCGGATGTTCACCCGATGGCCGCCCGTCGCCGCCGCGCGCGCCGGCGTGCTCTCACAGGCTGGCGTCCGATGGCCGCCTCGCCGCCGCCGCGCGCTGGCTGGCGCTTCGTGGCGTTTGCCTGGCCTCCGTCCTTCGCCGCGTCGTCGCCACTGTATGCGTCGTACAGTTAAGTCGGGCCTGTCCCCCATACAGGGGGGTTTGCGACGAAGAATAAAAAACACCCACCAAATATTCCAAAAAGGTAAAAAAAATACCCCCAAAAATAGTCCCCAGACTACTCTTGAATTATGTTTGGATTATGTTTGGGTTTTTTTTCGTCGAGAATCCCCCTGTAGGGGGACAGGCCCGACTTATTAGCACAGGGCTGCGCAACGCATATCTAATACCAGATAACTTACACCACGCAGTTTGCAACAAGCCGCTTGCACCATATTCCGTGGGCCACACAGTGCACACGGTGTCTCACACATCCAGACTGAAGCAGCTCACTGTGTTGGGCTCACGCTGGTCATACCTATACGACCACCCTTCGGGTGATAAGGAGTTTGTGGGGGAACCAACATCTTACTCAATCGATCTCACTATCGATCTCACCCAACGGGACACCACGGGACACCTCGGGGCACCACATCGATGTCAGTATCGATCTCAGTAACGATCTCACTATCGATCTCATTCAACGGCACACCACGGGACACCGCGAGCCACCACCAGACGGCCGGACGGACGGAGGGACGGGGGAAACAATATTTGTCTTGACGTCGCCCTAACAACGGTGGACACCACGGGACACCACGGAACACCGCGGGACACCGCGAACCACCGCCGGACGGACGGACGGACGGACGGACGGGGGAACAACATTTGTCTTGATTTCGCCGTAGCTGCGGCGGGTTCTTTCCTCTCGCGCGCCCACGCAGTTTCGCCTCGCCCGCACGCACGACACAAACGAAACGAAACTATTTCCGGGTTGGGGGTCTCCGTTCTATTGCGATCTCACCCCCCCAACCTCCGATTAACGCCGTTCCCGTTTTGTTTCTCCTCCAATTCAGCCTCGTCTTCCGCGCCCTCCAGGGTCTCCCAGCTCAAAGTGCGTCGGGGGTGGGTTGGGTAGTCGCGGGGTCGGGCACACCTTCACCTAACTTGTCGTCCCCTTCCCCACGCCCCTCCTTATTCAGCTCGTCTCCTCCCCCTTTCGTTTCTCCTTCCTCCTCCTCCTCCTCCTCCTCCTCCTCCTCCTCCTCCTCTCGTTTCCTCTATTTATTCCTCTCCCCCCCCACCTCCTCGCCTTCCCCGCAGCCACCGCTAAGCCGCCTCCCGGCGGGAGACAGGCCAGCGGCGGCCTCACGGTGGTGGAGGTCGGCAAGCAGCAGCGCAGCGTCAAGACGGGAGCTTGGGGCGCCTTGGATCGTCGCCCGCGGTTCCTCCCTCCTCTTCCCCCTCCTCCTCTTCCTCCTCCTCCTCTTCCTCCTCCTCCTCCTCCTCCTCCTCCTCCTCCCCCTCCTCCTCCCCCTCCTCCTCCCCCTCCTCCTGTTCCTCCTCCTCTTCGCCCTGAGATCAAGAGGAGCTAGCGAGTCCCCAAAGCATCTCCTCTCCCCTTGGGTGGGAACGATCGCGCGGGGTCTTCGTGCGGTCCCGGGTCATCCGCATCGTCTGCCTCAACGTGCGGGCTTGCGCCGCCGCCTGAGCCCTCCTCCTCCTTCTCCTCCTCCTCCTCCTCCTCCTTCTCCTCCTCCTCCTCTTCCTCCTCCTCCCCGGCGCGCGACTAGCGCCCGACAGGTGAGCCCAGGTCGGTCGAATCGTGTGCGTTCGCGTTCCAAGTTCTATGCGGCTGCCTGCGGGGGGCGACTGCTCGGGGGAGGCACGGGAGGACATACTGCGCGATACCTCGTGTCCGGAGGTGTGTGAGAGTCGTAGCGTGTGACAGTTCTCTCGCGTCGTGTCAGGGGTTGCGGCCTCGTAGTGCAGTTTTGAGGCCGTCGAGGGGCTGAGGGGCTGTCTGATGCCATCGTGTGATAATGTACCTCCTTGTGGTGTCGCCGTTGAGGCCCAAATGCGCTCGGGAACACGGATCCTGTATTCTTCGAGTGCAAAAATGTGGGACGCTCGCAGCTGAATGCACAAAAGGTGATGGAGGAGCCTTTCAGAATCTGACATCATCCCTGCCAGAGAGCCCTTCCGCCTTCTTCCACGCCTCAACGTGCAAGGGGCCTTTGTGGTTGATTTCTTCTTTCTACGATTGCTTTGCCTTGATCGAAAATGTCCGGTGTGCGTCTGATAGCATACAGCATCTAATACAGACGCCTTGAGTTCTAGACTGACCCTCGAGCTTCTAGAAAGCGTTCGTTCTGCGCTCTAGAATCGGGGAAACGTAAGACTCGAGTAAGCCGGAACTCGGGTTTGCCGAGTTTTTTTTGACGAGCGCGCCCTGGATTTTGACGGTCCCGTTTCGTGGGATGTGTGCAGCGGGAGCCCGCGTTAAATTTCAGATTGGGTCTCGTCATTTTCATGATGGCCCCCGTCAGGCCAACCCGAGTCCCCCGCACCTGAGTTTTACGTCTCCCCGATAGAACTCGCAACGCCATTCCAGAATCTGTTTTGGCCGCTTTGTGGGAACACGTGTGCAATTGATTCTAGTTGGCGCATTTTTGGAGGATCTCTGATTGCGACGGGAGGCGGCCTTGATCTCAGCCTGAAATGGCCTTTCGTTCCATCGGGCGTTCGGCGCGAGCTTGCGTCGGCGCAACACGTATCGCTCCAGTTGCCGCAATTTGCCAGCAACTCTTTGTGGAGGAAGTTGATGGGTGCCAGTTCGGGCAAAACGACATGTTGGATTACACCCCTTGCCGCCATCCACCCAGAGGAAGAAATTGCTCAGAGAAAGTTTGCTCCTTTTCAAAACCAGGCGATTTTCTCAGCGCCGTGCACATCAGCGTGTTCAGCAATTTCGAGGACGGAAGGCGGATCCGCTCCTTTTTGAAATTGGGCTCTCGCCTTAGCGCCTTGCACAGGCGCTGCAAAAAGCTTGCCGCAGTTACGGGCAGACCGTGGTACCCTGGTGTCCTTCGTGTTTGTTAGATGTTCTTGTGCACCTTGTGGAGGGTTCCCTTGGATGTTCTGTTTGTTTTGGCCGACGGAGGGTCTCATGTTCTTGAGGGATGCTCTTCGGGCCTAGGTCTGACTGCACCATGCTGGAAGGCGGTTGTTTTTTTTCCAACATAGGAATGGAACAGTTGCGTGGGTGGAGGGTGGTCTTTTTTTCAAAATTAGGGCTCTCAATTGAGAGTTATTCAGGCTTCATTCTCAGGCTTCATGAGCATGTGTGGCGATTCCACCGATGGGGGCGGTTCGTTCTCGCGGCGAGACTATCGTTGAACAGATATTCCCCCTATCCAGAGGATGGGGTCCTGATTATTTTCCATGTCTGAAGTGTAAGACATGTTTAATTACTCTAATCACGCCGAGGCCCACCCACTCATCACCTCTACTTGTCCTACCCTCACTCAGACCCGCGATGATGATGCTGATGATGATGATGATGCTGATGATGACGATGACGATGCTGGCGATGATTATTCTGACGCTTATGATGACGCTGATGATGGTGATGATGAATACGACGATGATGACGATGATGATGCTGATGAGGTCAGGGGTGGTGATACGAACTGTGAATCATGATGGAAATGTTGAGGATGATGATGAAGATGATGCTGCTGCTGCTGCTGATGATGATGATGATGATGATGAGGTCCGTATTAAGGTCATGATGCCGATGGTGGTGATGATGTTGTTGCGGATGAGGATGGTGATGTTGATGACCAATATGATGACGATGGCGATGTTGATTATGATGTTGATGGTGATGGCGATGATTGTGAACATGATGATCATGATGATCATGATGTTGAGAATGAGGATGAGGATGAGGATAGTGATGATGATGATGATGGGCAGGAGGGTTGTGTTGTTGATGCTTCCCGTGATGATGATGATGACGACGATGATGATGAACATGATGATGATGATGCCGATGATGATGATGATGATGATGATGATGCTGATGATGATGATGATGAGCAGGAGGGACGTGTTGTTGATGATGACAGCAATGATGATGACGACGAGGGCGATGATGATGTCGGTGATGACGACGATGATGATCCTGATGATTTTGATGATGATGATGATGATGATCAGGTTGATGATGATACTGATACTGATGATGATGATGATGATGATGATGATGATGATGATGATGATGGTGATGATGACGATGCTGACGCAGCAGATTTTGAGCATGTCTCGAAAGCGGCGCGGGTTGGTATTGCATGCGCCCGTTCGCGCCAAGGTTGTGGGGACGTCTCGAGCGGTTTGCCTGTTTGCATACCTAGCGTTCTTCGCCTTTGGGGCAGATGTTTAGGCTTTCTCGAGCGAGGCGCTGGTTTTCGCACACCCACAAGTGGGCACCAAAAAGTATTGCACGGGCCCGTTCGCGCCCAGATTGCGGAGATGCCTGGTGCGGTTCACCTGTTTGCATGCTCAACATCCTCCGCTTTGGGAGCAGATTTTGTGGATGTATTGAGCGAGGCGCTGGTTTTCTCATGCCCAAGGGGGGTGCGCCACGGTGTCCTGCACGGGCCCGTTCGCGCCCAGATTGTGGGGATGTCTGAAGCGGTGTGCCTGTCTGCATGCTCGTCATCCTCCGCTTTCGGATCAGCTTCTGAGGTTGTCTCGAGCGAGGCGCTGGTTTCAGCACGCCCAATGGGGAGCGCCACGGTGTTCTGCGCGGGCCCGTTCGCGCCCAGATTGCGGGGATGTCTGAAGCGGTTTGCCTGTCTGCTTGCTCAGCCTCCTCCGCTTTCGGCACAGATTCTGAGGATGTCTCGGGCGAGGCGCTGGTTTGGGGCGAACGAAGCATAACGTAAACATGAAAACTCGGAGGTCCGCGCGGATTTCTCGGATCCGCGCTGGACCCCCCTGGCGGCGCCACCGGCGCCGCCCAGGGCACGCTCCGCGCGCCAGGGAGGGGGGTCCAGCGCCGATCCGAGACATCCGCGCTGACCTCCGAGTTTTGATGTTTATGCCACTTGCTGCCCCCCCTGTGGTTTTCGCACGCCCAAGGGGGGGCGCCCGGAGTCGTCGCATAGGCCCGTTCGCGCCCAGATTGCGGGGGATGTCTGCAGCGGTTTGCTTTTGTCTGCATGGTCAACGTGATAGGCCTGTTTTCCACCACCACCACCATAAGTTGGAGGGGGAGGGGTCCTCCTCCTCCTCCTCCACTTCCTCCTCCTCCTCCTCCACTTCCTCCTCCTCCTCCAACTTATGGTGGCGGTGGTGGAAAACAGGCCCATCACAACGTGCTCGGCTCCCCGGAGCAGATTCGGAGGCCGTCTCGGGCGAGGCGCCGGCTCCCGCAGCCCGGGCGGCCCGGATGCGGGAGGATGTCTCGAGCGGTTTGCCGGATGGGCTGGCCAGGCTTTGCGCTCAGAGCAGGTGCGGTAGGTTCGCGTCGTGTCGACCGGCGGCGACCCCGCCGCCGACGTTCAACTTTGAACGCCGACGGCGGCCCAGAATCGGTCGATGTTGAACGATCGGACGTTGCGGAGACGGCCGATCGTTCAAGGTTGAACGATCCAGCGCGGTGTCGGGAACCAACGACGGGGTCGACACGACACGAACCTGCCGTGCTCAGGATGCCCCGGGTGGGGCGCTGGTGTTTGCATTTTTGGGGGCCCAGATTGCGATGATGTCTCGGGCGGTCTGCTTATTTTTGGTCGTCAGATTCGTTTGCTTTCGGAGCCGAAAGGCCGGTTTCTGTTCCACGTGGTGTGTCGCGTGAGATGTTTGCGTAAGGACTTGTGGGCCAGTCAACGAAGTGCAAGGGTCTCGCACGGCGTCTACTTCCAGCATGGAGGGAGGGATCTCGCAGCCATTTCGTCGCAGCCACTCTCACTTATGCTCAGACCACTGCCGTGCAGAGACACTGACCCTGAGCTTCGCCATTCTCAGACTCATGCTCATTGAGTCAATCGCAGAAACGAGACTCATTCGCATTCAAATTCATTCACAGTTATACTCGCTCCCAGTTTGTCCATACTCAAGCCCGTTTATATTCGAAGTCTCTTGCGCCGACGCCCTCACGGCGCGAAGGCCCTTGTAAGTATATGCACACATGGGGAGCCCCACGCAGTGAATAATTATTCTGACCGTGCCGAGGCCCCATCCACGCACCTCCTCTCCTTCTCTCATCCTCTCAGGCTCGCGATGATAATGCTGATGATGCTGGTGATGATGGTGATGACTGAAATGATGATGGCGACGACTACGATGTTGATGGTGATGGTGATGATGTGGTCACAGAGGATGATACGAACGATGAATGTTGATGGGAATGGTGGTGATGATGCTGATGATGCTGATGATGATGTGGTCAGTATTCAGGTTACGGTGGCGATGCTGATGATGACGATGATCATGATGACCAAAATGATGAACATGTTGATGATGATGATGATGACGATGCTGAGGGAAATGATGATCATGATGTTGATGAGCAAGGTGGTGGTGTTGCTGATGCTGATGGCATCAATTCTAGTTACGGCGGCCATGGCGAGCATGATGATGATGATGATGATGATGATGATGATGATGATGATGATGATGAGGATGAGGATGATGATGATGATGATGCTGATGCTGATGATGATCTTGTTGGTGGAGATGATGACTGTGCCGGAACACCTTTTGAGGTTTTCTCCTAGCGATTTGCTGGTTCTCGCACACCCAAAGGGGGGCGCCATGGGGTTTTGCACGGGCCCGTTCGCGCCAAGGTTGCAGGGATGTCTCGAGTGGTTTGCTTGCTTGCATGCTCAACATCCTCCGCTTTCGGAGCATATTCAGAGGAGCTGCTCTTCTCACGCCCAAGAGGGGGCGCGACAGTGTATTGCACGGGCCGGTTCGCGCCCAGATTGCGGGGATGTCTCGGGCGGGTTGCTTGCTAGCATGCTGATTTTTGCACCCCAGAGCGCTTTGCCTATTTTGCTGGCCAGAATCGTGGGCACTGATCTTCCCCAGGAGGCCAGTGGAGGCCCCAGGAGGCCCCAGGAGGCGTCATGAGGCCATAGGAAGCCCCAAGAGGCCACAGGAGGCCACAGGAACCCCCAGGAGGCCTCAGGAGGCTCCGCGGTGCTCCAAGAGACCACAGGAGGCCACGGGATACCCCAGGAGGTCCCATGAGGCCCCAGGACGCCCCAGGAAGATCGAGGCCCCAAGAGGCTCCAGGAAACACCAGGAGGTTGCAGGAAGCACCAGATTGCCCTTCTCCTGTGGCGCAAATCCTTTCCAGGAGGCTCCAGGAGGCTCCTGGAGGCACCAGGAGGCCGCAGGAATCCCGAAGAGGCCCCAGAAAGCCCCAGGAGGCCCCAAGAGGCCCCAGGAGGCCCCAGGAGGCCCCAGGCTCACGCGCACAGACTCATTCCTATCAGTGAGACTCATACACATTCCAACTCTCTCACAGTTAGACCCACTCCCGGTCTATCAATACTCAAGCCCGTTTGTATTCGAAGTGCCTTGCTCCTCGACGCTCACTCGAGCTCCACGCAGTGTATACTTTTATTTGTTATATTATGATATTGGCACGTGCTACTACTTACTACTCGCAAGACCAATGCAATATGATGTTTTTCCAAAGGGGGCTCTCGCCCAAATGATAGGCTCACAGGGCAATCGTCTTTGGATTGGCCATTGCCTAAAGTATAATAAGCACGAGAAGGCTTCCCAGGATGTATGAGGCGGCGATGTGGGACGGGACGTTGTAATGCATCATGCTTGATGCGTCGCGGGCGTATTCAGGTCATACTCCTCCTTCCTCCCTCTCCCTTCGAGGGAAGAAACACGGGGACCATGGCTAAGATGTCGCAGGATCCTGTCGATGCCGATCTTGGTCATGGTCCGTATCGGCCGTCGCCGATTCGCGCGGATCGTCCACGAACCGACGCTGACCAGGACCGACGCTGGCCAGGGTCGACACGACGCTTCTGCGTTCGGTCCTGGTCGTGGTGCCCGCCGCGTGCTTCTCCTCCCTCCTCCCTGCCGCGCAGGAGCCGACGGGTCGCGCACGGAGATGAGGACCGAGACGAGGGAGAGGAGGATCACAGGCAAGCGGCCAGGCACGCCCGTCGAGACCAGGTCGATGGCCAGGGGGGGGGGGGGGGGCAGGGGGGCGGGGAGGGCCAGGGCTAAGTCGGGCCTGTCCCCTCTGCAGGGGGAACACTCAAAAATAGTTTTAAACAAATAGTTCGGATACTTGTTTTCACTATGTTTGATCATGTGTATGTTTGCGGTATTCTATTTTTTTCGCCGACTACCTCCCTGTAGGGGGACAGGCACAACCTAAAGCCAGGGGGGGGCAGCAGAGGGGCACGACGGCCAAGAGGCCCCCCCCAGGAGGCGGGATAGTTGTGTCCCTCCTTTTCCTCCTCCTTCCTCCTTCCTCCTCCTCCTCCTCCCTTCTCCTCCTCCCTCCTCCTCCTCCCTTCTCCTCATCCTCCTCCTCCTCCTCCTCCTCCTCCTCCTCCTCCTCCTCCTTGGCATCCTTCTCCTCGGCATCCTTCTCCTCCTCCTCCTCCTCCTCCGCCTCCTTCTCCTCCTCCTCGTCCTGCTCCTCCTCCTCCTCCTCCTCCTCGAGGGTCGAGGGTCGAGGGTCGAGGGTCGAGGGTCGAGGGATGGGTGCGGCCGGGGAGAGAAAGTTGTGCAAGTGCAGCAAGGAAGGGGGGTAGAAGTAAGGGGCGAAGAGACAAGATGAGGGAGAATGGGGGGGCAGCAGGGGGGGAGGCGAGGGACGGAAAGGAGGGGAAAGCTGGGGAGAGGGGACGGGGGGGGAATGTGTCGGGGGTGGAGTGGAGTACGGGGGTGTAGGGGGGAAGGAGGGTGGGAGAAGGGGGGGAGGGAGGGAGAGCAGGACAAGGGGGAGGGAGAGGGGGACGACACGGGGCTATCTCAAAAGAGAGTTCCAAACTGTCTCCCGCACTCCAGCCCGCACTCGCAGCAAGCGAGTCGCACCCGTCACTCAGCTTGGGCAGCATGCTCGCCATCCACTGGGCAGCCATTCCTGGCCAGCCTCAACTGCGGGAGCTGTGTTCTTTCCCCCCCCCGTGGGGGCGATGCCCTTGTCGAGGCTACGATGAATCTCCAGGGGCGTGGAGATCACAGCTCCCCCAGGGGCGGCTGGCCGGCATAGAGCACATGCGGACACTACGTGTGAGAACGGTGCACGGGGTAGACGCACCACTCGGATGAGCCAGGCGCGTCGGATGTGCGAGGTGCGCCACTCGTGCCAATCGTTTCAAATGTAACCCAAAATGTGGCAGGTGCTTCAGGTGCGCCACCCTCAGGTGCGCCAAGGTGCACCCAGCTGCCAAGCGCGACAGATGCGCCGGGAGCTCCCACAGTACATCCTGCATGCTTGCTTCAAAACGAGGGTTGCGCCCACAGGTTTGCAGAGTGTGTGCATGCAGCTGATATATATATATATATATATATATATATAGACGCATATATATATATGTATATATATATATATATTACAGAGAGAGAGAGAGAGAAAGAGAGAGAGAGAGAAAGAGAGAAAGAGGGAGAGAGAGAAAGAGAGCAACAAAAAAGGATAGACGCGACGCGCATGTTGCATTTGCCTTTTCTCAGCGATGCTGGAGGAGGTACGCGCGCTGCCTTGCTTGCGCGCCCTACGGCCACGCCCTCGCCAGGGCCTCGTCTGCGCTTGGCTGTGGCAGGAGCGACGCGATGGTCACCGCGCGCGGGTGTTGTGAGCGATCGCGGGCGGCGAAGGGGCGGCGCGCGCACCGCCCCCGGGCTCCAATGCCAGGCTCATATCGCGATGTATCTTGAGAGGGATGCAGGGGATGATCCACTTACCGGGGAGGCCAAACGGTGGGTGCTGCCGACCCTGAATGGGGGACGGCGGCTACGACGGCGGCCTCGGCGGCGGCGTCGACGCCGACATGGGGCAGAGTCCTCTGTAGTGCTTCGCGGCGCACCTTCGGAACGCGGAGCGCGCCTGATGGCCTTTGAAGAATGTTGGGGGTGATCCGTGTATCTTGGGCGGCGGGAGTCAGAGGGAGAGCGTCGGGCGGATTGTCGCGAGTGAAGGTGGAAGAGATTGCAGCAGGAGGAGGAGGAGGAGGAGGAGGAGGAGTACAGCAGAGGAGGGAGTAGGATCCTCGTTTCTTCCACACCCTCGCCCCCGTTCACCACCACCCTCTCTGCCTACACATGTATATATTTATACCTATACGACCACCCTGCGGGTGATAAGGAGGTGAGGGGGGAGGGAGAACCAACGTCTCATTCAATCGATCTCGCTATCGATCTCACAATCGATCTCACATTTGATCTCAATATCGATATCACTATCGATCTCGCTATCGATCTCACTATCGATCTCACTATCGATCTCACAATCGATCTCACATTCGGTCTGACATTCGGTATCACTGTCGATCTCACTATCGATCTCACTATCGATCTCACAATTGACGTCATCATCATCATCATCATCATCATCATCATCATCAACATCAACATCATCATCATCATCACCATCATCATCGCCATCATCAACATATCGATCTCACGATCGATCTCACATTCGATCTCACTATCGATATCACTATCGATCTCGCTATTGATCTCACAATCGATCTCACAATCGATCTCGCAATCGATCTCACATTCGGTCTCACATTCGGTCTCACTGTCGATCTCACTATCGATCTCACAATCGATCTCACAATCGACGTCATCATCATCATCATCATCATCATCATCAACATCAACATCATCATCAGCATCATCATCATCATCATCGCCATCATCAACATCATCATCATCATCATCAACATCAACATCATCATCATCATCATAATCATCGGGGACCATCTCTATTGGGACACCGACGGGACACCGACGGGACACCGGCGGAACACCGCGCGCCACCGGCCGCCCGGAAGAGACACATTTGGTCCGGCCGCGCCTCAGCCACAGGGACACCCACGGGACACCAGCGGGACACCGGCGGGACACCGCGCGCCACCGGCCGCCCGGAAGAGACACATTTGGTCCGGCCGCGCCTCAGCCACAGGAGACTTTCTCTCGCCCGCCCACGCAGCTTCGCCTCGCCCGCACGCACGGCACGCAAGAACGCGAAACCGAAATCGATTTCCCGGTAGGGGGGCTCTCCGTTCCACTTCGATCTCACCCCCTCACCTCCGATGTATATGTTGTTTGTTGTCTCTCTCTCTCTCTCGCTCTCTCTGTCGCTCTCTCTCTTTCTTTATGTTTCGTCTCTCTCGCTCTCTCTGTCTCTTTTTCTTTCTGCATTTCGTTGTTTGTATTTGTATGTGTTGTTTCTTTTTCTGTATACATATATACATGTATAGATTATGCAGGTTTTCCCCCATAAGGATGACTGCGTATGCACATGTGTGTATGTATGTCGAGACATGCGTGTTCACCTTTCGTCCCATATCCATGATTCACCCAGTCCGTGTTCTCTCTCTCTCTGTCTCTCTCTCTCTCTCTCTTTCCCTTTTCCTCTCTCGCCCTTCTTTGGTTGTGTTTCTTCTTCTCGAACCCCCCACCCACCCACCCGGTTTTCGTATGCCCAGGTGTGACATGCAATAGTTTTGGGATATCAGTTGTGTGCCCCCCGCCCTTACTTGCCTCGTCCTCGCCCGCCGCTTACACCACCAGGTCTGTCACGAAGAAGAAGAAAGTGACCGAGACGAAGGAGCATGGCCGAGGGAAAACATGGTGAACCCCCTTCCTGCTGGACCCCCCCAAAACAAAACTACTTTGAAGTCCCGGTGCGCACAGCTGTTCTAAAGTGATTTCCTTTCCATCAACCGACAGAAGTTCCCCAGTCGTGCATCCTGCTTCCCCTCTACCATCCTCTGACGCACTTCGTCCTCTTCCGCCTCCTCACACCTCTTCCGTTTTCTGTCCTATTGTCCCCCTCCCCTACATCCTACAGTGGAAGCCCATGCCAAGAACCCCCCTGGTTACCTCCAGGACCCCTTCGTTTTTTGGGTATCGATCGCTGTGCGATGAAAAGCGTGACGTTCCCACACCAAGAGTGAATGGACGCCCTGGGGTCTCAGTGTTGGGTTTCTCGTGGAAGGCATCTTGTGGTCGAGCTCCTACTCTATTCACGCGCGAATGCCATTTGTTGTTCATAAGCTCGCCAGGCGACCTCGCGCTGGCTCTCCGCAGAAGACGCGAAGATTATGCATATGTTCCTCCTCATATTCCTCCTCCTTTATTTCCTCTTGGTTTTCTGGCGGGGAACTAAATGGATACAGCTGGTCCGCACCTCGTTGCCAGCATCTGCCTGACAATTTCTACGGCAGCGCACGCTGCCAACTTATTTCGCCTCTACACCAACACCGGACAGTTGCTCGACGTCGTGGCGTCGACCTCACCCCCACGTTTCGGCTAGCATACCTGATGGTGCCCGCCGCAAGAAGGAAGCCTCGTCCCGCACATCACAAAAGGGTCGGGTTACGCTCGATGCCAAGCAAGGCCGCGCTTCTCCTGGGAATGCTGACGATGTGCGTTCGAGGATTGAACAGGCTGTTGCAAGGTGCAAGCACCGATGGCGTCAGCGAGCAGGACGCTTGGTTCGACAGTCATGCCAATCAATGGGCCCGCGTCCACATCCGCGAAACATTGGGACATGTTAATGAAGAGAGCGAGTCAGAGTTGTCTGCCTCTGCCAAGGACGCTTCCGCCGCTGCCGTGGACCCCATCGACCTCGCTCTCAACCTGCCCACCGACGCGGTTCCCAACGCACCAGCTAGTGCGGCAGCCGCCGCTTCTGCGCGCATCCTACCACAGTTTGACGACATTGAACGACGTTCGCAGAAACATGTGGAGTATGTTGGCCACATGTTGAACGAGCACGCTGACACACTTCAGAAGCATGATACCGTCCTCTTCGGCCGTCTGTCCCAGATGCAAGAGATCAGGAGGGAGCTGGCTCTCGCCCAGCGTGCCATTCACCCCAAAAGTCCATCGACCGCTCGTTCAAGCGCGACATCGACACCACGATCCTCGAAGTCACCGCGTCTGACCCCGCCCAGAAGGAGAATGTTGTGAAGTGTCTGGAAGCCTTGCTCAAGAACGCGGACATGGAGGGCACGTTCAAGGCGGGCAAGCCGAAGCTAAATCCACGCTCTTCATGGTACAAGTGCTTAGGCCCATTGCAATGGCATCGCGGTGGGCCCAGCAAGCAATGGGGTACTCGAAGCGAAAGATGGGTGGACCAGATTCCCTGTGCTCCCAGTGGACGGCCCGACCATTCAGCAGCATTTTGGACCAGCCAAGTCGCCCTTCCAGAGTCGCACGGAGACCCGAGACAAGAAGTGCGTCAGCAAGCCCTGGAAAGAGTTCGGACAGATGGCTTCGGGGAGCTGGGCGCCCCTGCATCGACCGGCCCCCAGCGCCAGCAGAGAACCGACATCGGTGCGTTGGGGCGACGCAGGGCCGGCAGAGTAACAACATCTTTCTCGACGAGGGAATCTCTGGCGCATCGAGTCGATCGGTTCTCCCGGCGCCCAGTCGAAGCGGTTGTCTTTGACGGCGCCTGGACTCTTCAACGCCGCGCGCTCGGCGGGGCCCCCGTGTCGCGCGCTGGTAGTTGGCGCGGGGGGCGCTCGGTCCATGCCCAGGTGGCGATGCGCATTGGCGCTCGGAACGGAAGTCAGCTTTAGACCGAGGACCAGACCAATGTCATCTCCCAGCGCCTTGCGCCACTTCCCAGCGCTGCTGCAGCGCTATGTCTGACCGTTCTTCGCGCGGCAAAGCAGGCGCGGTAAACGTTGCCTTCGTTTGTTCATGAGGATTCGAGGTCAGCGACGGGTGCTACAATTGGTAAGGGGAAGAGACTTCGAAACCATTGTGAAATTAGGTCAAGTTTGGCTGCGCTACCACAACTCCCGCAACCGTGATCTGTCGGACAGACATGCGCTCAGCATTCCTCGCGCTCTGCAGCGATATCTGGATTTTGCGAGACTCCTGATTGCGCCCGCGGACATGCAGTTCGCCTCCAACAGCATGTTGAACCTGTTTCAACCGGAGAGTAGAAGCTCACTCAGCATGGGAAACGCACCCCCCCCCCACGCGTCCCCCCGCCCCCACCCGATGCGCCGCAGCGAAGTGGAAGGTGGTTCTCTACTCGCCAGTAGGAACCTCGGCGGACGACCCGACCCGCTTCAGCAAAGACACTGGGCAGCAATGGTCGCAGGATCGGATCTGGTCTGCCGCCGCCGCATGGGTGACACGCCGCCATTTCAATGGCGGCGGCGCGGCTGACCCGCCCGAGGAGATTCACGGCGCGGAGGTCTCTGATCACGTCGCGCAGAAGGTTACTGCTCAAGAGAGGAAGCTGCGCGTTACGAAGCGGACTTCGTCTCTCCGCCAGCGGTGTTTGGAAGGCCCGGTTCCGCGGCCACATTGGGCGGCGTGGCTTGAGAAAGGTCGGGGGACTTTTTCAGGAACCGCCCGATCTGCGCGCCCACCGCTGCGCAGCGCCGATCATCGAGGCTGTCTGCGTCGACTTCGAGGAGGCGCCAGCGGTCTACGTCGGCGGCGCCAAGTCGCAGTTGGCCCAGGTCAGACTAGCAGCGAGGGCAGCG